CTGAGAAGAATACGAAGGAGGTGAGAGGGCACAACATGCAGATATTTGGGGAAAGCAGATTCCTGGAAGAAGGAACAGCAACAGCAAATTTCAAGGGCTGAAGGGTTAGTGGCCTTGGGGCCAGTAAGCAAGGGAGAGAGGAATGGAAAGTGACGCCATAGTTTTCACGTGCTTTTGTTGACGATTGGCTACCTGGCTTTAATATAAAACACAAATCTAACTGGATAAACAAGTAGATTATATGTGTTCTGATATAAATGCAAAGTTCAGTGAACACCATGAATTGATCTTTTCATTCAGTCATATTTATTGAGCATCTATATGCCAGGCACCTTCAGAGCTACCACGTAGCACAGGTGGGCAGCACCCCTGGAGCTGTCCAACGCGGCCACCCTGCACACAGTCACTCATTTTTCCCACCATCCTGGAATTTACAGTCCAGAAGGGAAGCAGTTCCCAGGATGATACTTGTCATAAAGGGAAAGCACAAAGTACTAAGGCCACGAGCTCAGGTGCAGCTATCGGTAGCCTCCTCTGGGGTGTCAGGGATGGCTTCCTGGAGGAAATTATGTTTCAGCCAAAGCTGGAGCAGTGAATGGGATGTGTTAGAATAAGGGAAGTGAGGGGAAATTTCCAGTCTGAGGCCCGTCAGCGAACTGCAAGGGGCACAGGGAGGAGGGCAGGAAGCCACGGCTGGGGCACTGAGCAGGAAAGAGCTCGAGGCCCAGAGCGTGTAGCCCCATAATGACTGAGGGCAGTGCAAAAGCATGGAAGAAGGGCTTTTAAATAGGTGACTGACAACCAGTATCTTACACTGAAAATGAATGTAGAAAATAATACATGCACAGGTTTCAGTGTCATCAAATTTTTATTAAGCATATACATGCTAAATACATTATGAAATGTTCTCTAGGAATGGAAAAAGTGGCCAAGAGCAGAGCCAGTATATTTCATGTGTCTTGTCTCTAAATAGCTGAATCATACAAACTTTTGCGTAATTTAAACAGCCGTGCTAAATACCAGTGTTGCAAACCGACAATGGTAGACTATTGGCATTGTCATGCCTCAGCCTCTTTTGCAGGCACAGCCGTGCTGACGCAAGCAGGCCTAAACTGACACACAGCAAAATGTATTAGAAGTAGGACAGAGAAATAAATACTTCAGATCACTCATTAGTCAAGTTAATAAAGAAATGCTAACTGAATCCAGTGATCATTCTTGGAAGAGAGAGGCTAAATAACAGATGTTTTGGAATGATGGTAAGCATATACCACATTAACAAATCCAAATCTTTGGCCTATTTAATTCAGATGGGTGCTAGTTGTCAATGCCACCAAAGAAGGACACTTAACAAAGAACCCAATAAATTAATGTGGCGCTCCCCACAATACCTAAGCGTAAGGTCAGTAGTAAAAACAGAATATAAAGGAAAAAAGAGGCGAAACCTGCAGCGATTGCAGAACTTAATGGTAACATGCTTATTTAAACACGTTTCAGTGTGTGTCTATGCAGATCCACTAATTCACATATAGCTCTTGGTACAGCATCAACTTCTTTTTTTGTGGTGCTGATTCTCTAAGAACCTGATGAGTTTCTTTGAGAGAGAAGTAGCAGCCCAATCTAGCTCAGCTGTACTCAATCTGAGTTGCTCTCCTACCTACAAACCCTCACTTCAAAGCAAGGAACATAATGTACAATTTTTTAATGGCTCTAGACCCAGGCACTCAGACTCTCTGCTCTGCGCCTTACCTCAGTGTAAACACCTAATCAAGATTGCCTGCGCTCCAACAATAGCAGCCAAATGCAATTGGAGAACCACAAGCCTTTGAAGTCCTCCCTGCAAAGGCCGGTTTTCTAGTCTGGGATAATGACATGCCATGATTGCTGTCTTTGTTGTATCTTTTCAGCAGAGAAGCAATTATAGGCCCCAATTTAACAGAATAGACATTACACAGCTTATGATGCTCAAAATGCAATTTCATTTGATCATTTTCTCGATTTGATTGGTATTAATAGAATAGTTCACAAAAAAAAAAAAAAAAATAGCTGGCAGAGGTTGTGTCCCATTCCACTTTCAAAGAGATAATGTAGAAGTATGCTTGGCTCGCCCAGAGACTCTCGCTGGGCGATTCAGCCACTGAGTTCCACCAAAACAGCCGGTGGAGGGGAATATTGTACATCCTATGCTCTCTGGGAAAGGAAGCACGGGACACTGTTTTTAATTTGTAAACTTTTCATCGGAGCTGTGTAAGAGATCCTGGTGTCATCAATTGACAATTAATATCACCAGTGATAAACCGAATTAACTAAACCAAGTCCCCTTTATTTCTTAGACATTTACAGAAGTCAGGGAATCAACATCCTCGTGACAGATCTAAGGGAGCTCAACTTCTCTTTCTCCCAGCTCATCTGAGAAGTCACCACTTTTTGAGGTGTGAAAAAGGATTATTTCCTCTCCTGCTTAGTCAGCCTAGTTAGACTTTTTACTCTGGACTTGCATTCCTCTTCTAAGACAGGTTGATTTTTCTTTTAAATGAATCGCGTTTCTATTTAACATCGTGGTCATAAGGGATTGAAACCTTTGCTATAATAATGACAAAAGCTGTAAAAATCTGATATTTTATAATGATCCGGGGTTTCATCTTGAACCAGCACTTTGCGAGAGGGACCGAAAAGAAAATGGAAACGTGAGAAATGGCTCCTGACCTTGAGCAGCAGCATTTATAGTTCTAAACTTTCAGGTCAGCACAAGTTAAACTGTGTCATGATGGTGAAGTTTTCGATTTGCAGAGCAGGTTAATCATTCAGAGCCTGGTGATTACTTCCATTCGTAAGCAGAAGAACACCATGATCAAATAGCACATTTTTGTTCCTTTTTTAGGAGTAAAAATTCAAGCACGAAAATATTTTAGTTTCATTTTTTCCCATTTTCAGATCAACCTTTTAAGTAAACGTTTACACCATCCATCTGCCTTATTTCTCTCTACGTAAGTAGGTAATTGTGAAAGTTACTTCAGTGGAATTAGTGGAGAGAGTTCAGGTAGAGATAAGCTTCTACCCAAAATAAAAGAAACAAAACATTGTCTCTTTTGTCCCACGGAAGCCACAGCAAGTGGTAAGGAATGAGAATATCTTCCCTGTCAAATATTTACTTATCAATTAATATTTGACAAATAGTTTTACCTCCTTCTGTACTGAATACAAGTCTCCATGGGTATGAAGTGGAAGTAAGCAGCGAGGGGGAGTTTGAACACAAACACAAGACTCCAAATCCCACGTTCTGTCCGGTTTCACACGTTGCTGCTCCTCAGTCACTACCCAGCCCGGCAGGGGAAACGTCTCAACAGCAAAGCAAGTGTAGAGTCCTGAATCTGAATTTACAAATGAATCGCATCAGTTCAGAAAGGCGAAACTCAACAGCATTTACAGGTGATGAACCAGAGTGTGGGCATAGGAGCCCGACCTGAGGAATGCGGCAGAGGAAGGGTGGCAAAGAAATATTGAGAGAGGGTCTGTAAGTAAGAGAAGGCTCAGGAGGGACACCTGGGACAGCTTCTACCGGCGTAAGGCTGTCGTCTGAAAGAGGGGTGGTCCTAGTCAGTGGTATTCCAGAGGGCAGAGGGATAAAAAATACAGAAAGACGTATTTCTGCTCGTATAAGGAAGAGCTTTCTGGCATTTAGGTTGCTCCGTGATGGAACAATATGTTTATCATGCAGGAACAGAGATTTCTTCTCTCCTCCCTGTCTCATAGATCTTTAAACATGTGCTAATGCTGACAAACAGGTGACTCCCACCAGGAGATGGGGCGCGTGTTTAGGCAGAGAGTGGGGGAACATCTACAAGGGATGGTATGGATGACTGGAGGTTGAACTGGATTTTCTCCAGAATCTTTTCCAACATGAAGAGTGTAAATTTTAAATTTGTTTTCCGTGATGCATACAGATGGCTAGAATTTCACATGGCACAGAGACTGTCTGATTTCTTGATTTAAAACAGATAGCCAGTGGAGGCCAGGAAGGACCCTTGGATACTTAGGGGACCTAAATCCCATGTAGCTGCCTTTATCTGTGGTTCTCTAACATGGCTGCAGATTTGACCCTCCTGGAGAGCTTTTCTTTTTTCTTCTTCTTTGTTTCTAAATAGTAGATGGGGAGCTTTTAAAATATGCTGACATCTGGGGCCACCTCCAGAGCTTTAATTGGTTTGGGGTGGGACCAGGGCATTAGTACTTTTTAAAAGCTTCCTAGGTTTTCCTAATATCTAACTAAAGTTGAGAACAACTGATCTACATCATTCAAATTCACTGAGAACCAAAACTGCAAATTCTGCAGGTCTAGAATGATATTATAAATAAGTGAGTTAGCTTAGCAAAATTGTTAAATGTACATACAGGATCTGGCGTTAGACTGCCCGGCTGCTCTACTTACTAGCCAGTGATCCTGGGCAAATCACTTCCCTGTATCTTTGTTTTCTCATTTACAAAAAAGGTATAATAATATTAATACATATCAGGTAAGGTTGTTGTGATGATTAACTGATACGTTATATGCTGGGGGCCTAGGACAGCTACTGCCACACCATGAGCATTACATGTATATTATGATTTCTGTTGTTATCCTCTTAGAGTACAGTGTTATTTCATGGTGTTTCTATTCACACGATCAAACATTCGCAGCATCCAGTTCGCGTAACTGTTCTAAAATTGGGTCCCCTGAGTATGTATTGAGTATTTAAAGTAAGTAGTAATTTGACCTCAAAGCACCAGTTCTCCCTTCATGCCTTCAAGAGAAAATATTGTTTATTCCCATTTTCCTTGGGAACAACCTGAGTCCTTGAGGACTGAAGAGATGAATCCCTGAAATTAACTGAAAATAAAACCTAGCCCTGAAGGACCTCTTTCTAAAGTACACAGACCTGAGCCTTATGGCTCTAAGACTGAAATGAATTCAGTTAACATGCTATGTGTGTTTTACCCACCTAGATCTCCTGCTCCATCAGAGTAACTGACAAGACGTCTATTCAAAATGCCAAAGAGACTGAAAATGCTGCCATCGATCCTGAAGACAAATGGCATCAAAGAGCACAACAGCTAAAGGTTACCTGCTAGATTGCATTTTAAGTGTGTTTCCGGCGATACTGCTGAATATAAGCAATGCTTGTTACTGAGTTCTTATTACTTAAGGGTTCATTTTTATGCCTGACAATAGGTACCCACCTTCCCATGGGTAAAACTGGCTTCTGCCCAGATGGGCCATTGTTTGCTCAGCCGGCCCTACCTGTTTTTCCAAAGTTAAATCATATCACACTTTAAACATACAGAGTTAAAATTCCCCCAGAAGAAAGGCATGGAAAAATGCAGGAAAAATCACAGTTCCAAAGTATTGCAAATCAATATCCAATTCTGTGCTGCCTCCTAAGTCGGTTTCCTTTTGGAGCTGGCAGTTGCATATGATGTCTTGGGGTGGGGGGAGGGAACACTATCCCTAAAAACGGATGGGAATCCCCAGAGCCTCACTAAACCCTCATGCTTAGGATGTGAACACTTACCAAGTGATAATTTAACGTGACAACACCCTTTTTGGCCATGGGTTTACTACTTTGAAATCATGAACATGATTTCAAGGAAGGTTTTTCTGAAATTGTGCCCACAGACTGTTTTTCTAGAAGAAACAGAAAAAATACTAGCAGTTGATTTCTTTCTCGAACCGGTGTATGCAATTATGTGGAGTCATTCTTGGACCAGGTTTGATCCCTGCTTAGGAAGGGATGAGACCTTTGACATCACCGAGCCCATAGAGCCTGTTGACATCATCAGTTAAAACCACGTACAGCGGTTAACGTAATATAACAAAGTTTGTCCCAGCTTCAGAAAAGAGAGAAAGGAGGGCCAGCCCAAATTATCTCTTTCTCTCCAGTGGCCTCCAGGCCACTCTTAAGAAATGCAAAAAGAGAAATAAAAACAGTCATTAACCCAGAGTTTCCTGAAAGTTGAATGCCAGGGAGGCCACGCCCAGAAATTGAGAGGGAAAGGATGGCAGTGGGATGCAGAGGACAGGATCTACTACGAGACCTGATAGAGAGCGGGGAACCTGGACAACAGGATCCAGAGGACAAAGGAAACACTTTAAGGCTTGTTATGCGTTACGGTAATGGCCTGAGATGAGCGTCTGGGCCTTGACATGCTATTTACTTGATGCATGACTTTGGGCAAAACTCACCTTTCCCCAAGCCTTAAATTTCTTCTTTATTAAATGAAAGATTGGCCTAAATGATCTTCAAGGTCCATCTCATCTGCAAAATGCTATAATTCTAAGACCATTTAGGCCAGCTGTGGTGGCTCACACCTGGGAGACTAAGGCAGGAGGATTGCTTGAGACCAGCCTGAGCAAGAGCAAGATCCCGTCTCTACTAAAAATAGAAAAATTAGCCAGGCGTCGTAGTGCGCACCTATAGTCCCAGCTACTCAGGAGGCTGAGGCAGGAGGATCGCTTGATCCTAAGAGTCTGAGGTTGCCGTGAGCTATGATGACGCCACTGCATTCTACCCAGGCAACAAAGCGAGACTCTGCCTAAAAAAAAAAAAAAAAAAGACTATTTATTTCTAGCTATTTAAATTATTATAGAAAATAGATTTGAAGCATGTAAGATTATTATAACCTAGAGCTTTCATAATTGTCACTAAGGAAAAATTGTAGGATTCTCAGTCAATGATAAAATAATTAAGGTAATATCACAGTGCTTGATTCATGGCATGAACCTAAACAGAGGCAATAAAAAACATTTTATGGAAGAAAATCAGGAGAAATCCAAAAGAACACTTTTTATTCTCTGTGTGCCCTATAATTAACGTGCTTATAACCACTCGAATAAAGACAAAATGTAGCAAAACATCTAAGGATCGTTAGACTTAACATGACAGCAACAACGACTGGCCCAAGGGGTGTTCCCCTTTCCTCACTTAGGAAGGATTTAACTGCCCACTGCACTCTACACTCTGGCGGGACATGCTGGCGTACAAACACTCCAGGCAGTCTTTCTTTTTCCTCTTCAACTTCCCAAATTCCATGCCTTCTTTTTGGTCCCCCTCAAGTGCCACCTCCTGCATGAAGATTTCCCAGCCTCCTCCTCTTGGTCCCTGTTGTGCCTGTCGTCTGGGCCACTCACTCGGGGCCTGTCATACTCGGCCATGTCTCCGTAGTTGCTGCCTGTGTTTCTCTTGTACACGCTACACCATAAGCTCTTAAAGGTTAGGATTGTATTTTTCTCCACATCCCTTACCACAATGCTTTGACCAAAGCTGATGCTCAATAAATATGTACTGGCTGATTAAAGAAACATTTAAAGGTGATTTAGTGTGTCTTCAAGTGAAAATAGGCCTCATTTGAAATTTTTTTCTTGAAAGATGACTTTCAAATAATCTACAAATCCCCTCAGTGAACCCACCCTAACAACAAATAACCCTCACTAATGAGAAATATCTTTATGAGAAATCAAAATAATTCACACAACAAATATTTATTGAGTATTTACTATATTCCAGGCACTGCGAGTTAGGTGCCTGGCCCCAAAAATATGGTTAAAAAAACGAGCAAACAAACAACAACAAAAATTCTTCAAAATAATAAAAAAAATTGAAGAAAGACTGTTTTTTTTTAAATGGTCCCTCTCCTCTAGGAGTGCAAAAGTTTAGTGGGAATACAGTTATGTAATTATTATAATGCTATCATATGGAAGTAGGTACAAAATGCAGTGGAACTAAAAGAGCAACTAATTTTGCCTAATTTTCTAAAGACAGAGAAAGCCTTCCCAGAAAAGATAGCATCTGAGCTGCCCCCACAAGGATGAATCAAAGGGTGCAATGCAAATACATGGAGGGTAAAGGCATGGAAGAGGAAGAGAACACAGTACACTCTGAGAATTGCATATAGTTCAATAATTAAAGGAGAAAGTATGAGGGAGGGAAAGGATATGAGATGGCACTGGACTGGCTAGGTAGGGGACAGATTGTGAAAGGCTTTTTATGTCAATCAAGAAGTTTAGATTTTATCCTGTAGACAGAAGGAAGCAAATTGGATCTCCCTCTGTCACCAGGCTGGAGTAGAGTGGCACCATTGCTCATTGCAACCTCGAGCTCCTGGCCTCCAGTGATCCTCCTGCCTCAGCTTCCTGAGTAGCTGGGACTACAGGTGCACACCACCACGCCCAGCTCGGCTAATTTTTCTTATTTTTTGTAGGGTCTTGCTATGTTGCCAGGCTGGTCTCAATCTCCTGGGCTCAAGTGATCCTCCTGCCTCGGTCTCCTGAAATGCTGGGATTACAGGCATGAGCCACTGCACCCAGCCATTGGCAACCTTTGAGCAACTTAATGACATAACCAAGCTTGCAAGTGTTAGAAAAATCACTCTATTCATGGCCTGAGGAATAGATGGGAAGGGAATAAAACTAGAGAGACAGCAAAACCACTAAGGTGACGTGTGCAGCAGTTTCTACAAGAGATGGGAGGAGTTATGGTGGCACTTGCTTTGTGTTTGTCATACACTCCACATACCATGAGTTAACTTTTCAGTACATGGATATATCTTACTCCAACAACTGGATTAAACTTTTTGCAGGTCAGGACAGCACCTGGTTCCCCTCAGCCCCTGTATAGAGATGGTTAGGAAGTGGGAGCAGCAGACTTAGCAATTGCTTAAATGGAAGGTAAGGGGGTTGGTTTCTTAGTGTCTGGTTAGTGGTACTAATACCATTGAGAATAAATGGAGCTCTCTTGGTGCTGGGGATGGAAGGGGGAAGGACAAGAGGACAGGAGTGGGCCTGAAGTTGAGTTTGGAGGTATCTATAGAAAAGAGGACATCTCATCTAAGGACAGAAATTGGGAGAGACTCTGCGTTAGCCATGGACATTTGCGTCAGAAGCACTTCCTGATGGATTGAAGCTGTAGGAATTGCTGACATGACCCAAGAATTGTGGGGAGTGGGAGAAGAGGGTCAAAAACAGGGCCTTGCAGAGGGTGGCAGAATTTTAAGGGTGGGCAGAGGTAGAGGACAGAAGGTAAGAGACTAAGAAGGATTTCCAGAGTGGTAGAAAGCTAATCAGGATAAAATAGTGTCATGGAACCTAAGATGTGAACATTTCAAGAAAGAGGAATTAGTGAACACAGTCAAACACTGCAGAGAAGACAAGTAAAAAAGTGCCATGGAAGGGGCATGATATATGCAACTCCTTTATACACAAAGTTCCAATGGTTCAGAAAAAAAACTAAATACCAAAAATGTAAATAATGATAGTATAAACTATATATGTGCATATATACATATATTTGTGTTTTTATGTGTAGAGTGACAGAGGGATAAAAACTGGTGATTCTAGGTAAGGATCTTTGAGAGTTCTCTGTACTAGCAATTTTTCTGTAAGCTGGAAATAAATTAAAAATTAAAAGGTAAAGAAAAAATGCCCATCTGTCTTATCCACTGAGAGGTTATTGGTGGCCTGAGCAGAGTAGCTTCAGCAGGGTGGGGAGAGTGAACGCTCTAAAGCGGGGGGTAGAGGTCAGAATGAGAGATGGTGAGTGGGGACCGGGGCAGCCTACACTGGCAAGATGCTTGGCTGTGAGCTGCAAGCGAGATAGGGCTTAACCAGAGAAGGGGATCGAGTGAGGTTTCTTTCATTTCTTTCATAGGAGAGACTTAAATACATTTACATGCTGGAAAGAATGAGAAACTAGAGATGGGGCGAGGAAAGAGAGAAGATATGCCCGAGAACATCTAAGCCTATGTATTTCCACTTTAAAAATACTGAGAATGGATGGTCATCATTGTCTATGTTAGAATCTTATACATGCCTAGGATCTTTGCTTCGAGCCAAGTAATCCCTCTTCATAGGTCTCACTGTCCTCAACCATTTTGTGCTCTCCTGTGAATCTTCCCAGGTTTTCCAAATCCCACTGCAGTTGTGTGCCCAGGACTATTGCTGGGTAGTTGGAGGGAGCACACTGCCAATGGCAGAAGACCCTTCCCAGGTATCTTAGTCCATTTGGATTGATATAACAAAATACCATAGGACTGAGTGACTTATAAAGAACAGAAATTTGTTTTCTCACAGTTCTGGAGGCTGGGAAGTCCAAGGTCAAGACACAGCAGATTCGGTGTCCAGGGAGGACCGGCTTTCTGGTTCACAGATGGCACCTTCTCGCTGTGTCCTCTTGTGGTGGAAAGGGCAAAAGAACTCCCTTAGGCCTATTTTATAGGAACACGAATCCCTTTTAGGAGGGCTGTGCCCTCATGATCTAATCACCCCCCAGAGGCCCTGCCTTTAAATAGCATCACCTTGGGGATTAGGACTCGATATATGAATTTTGGGAGGACACAAACATTCAAACCGTAGCACCAGGCAAGGAACATGCTGTCAGTAGAAAAAAATATAAAGTTCCATAATTAATTAAGTCTTCAAAAGAATAAAATAGGATATTTTCTTTCTTACCCCTCTAAAATAATTTTTGACTTTCCAAGCAAGGAAAAGGTAATGATAGTATCAAAGGTATGGAAGCCCTTTCACTAATTAATGTGAAAGTCCTTATAATCACATCCTAAGTAATCTTCCCACCTTTCCAATTTGTTTTTGCCCCCAACATTACCAATTGATCTATGGTTCTTCTCTTATCCGAACACAGAGTTCTTCCTTATGGACAGTGGAAATTAGAGCCAATTAATAGCTGTGCTCAAAATTTTCTTAATATTATCAGACCAATTTATAACCCAAGTTCAAAATATTCACGTTTTATTATTCATAAACACACAGAAAAATGGAGCACAATAGAAACTTCTCTACATCAGAGCTGATTTTGCAGCCCAGGCACAACTTTGAGGACTCCATGGTTGAGTTAGATTAACTAAGAACAAGAGTGGCTTTTGTATTAAAGGAGGTGAACTTTTTGGATGAGATCATAGCATGCATTCTTCTTTCTGCTTATGACATGTGAACAAGGAAGTCGTAGAAGAGAGAGACAGCCAAGCACTGCCTTTCGCAGGGTTGGGGCAAACTTCCCTTGGACGGCACAGTATGAATGAACATTAATAACTAAGGATGAGTCTTACTAAGAAATTATCATCCCAGCTTTGGGCAACAGGAATCCCCCATGCTAATGCTCTACATGTGCCATGGAAACCTCCTGCCATTAAGCAGTTATTCTGAGTGCATGTAGTATGTACTGATTGCGAGTGTTGGCAACAAAAGAACCCCAGAGAGAACCGGAGGGAATAGAGGATTTCAGTGCTGATGGAGATTAAATCGCCTGAGAATGGCTTTGTATATTAACTTCGGGGAACTCAGGTCTTGCCACCTAGAGAGTGACACCTGATGCCCAATTGTAGGGTAATAGATCTTCAATAAACCACGGATCTTAAGTAGGCTGCTTGGAAGGTGAGAAAAATCGTATCAAGCCCATAAATGCCTTCCTTTCTGGGGACTGAAATGCCATCTCTGGGCACTTACATTTACATGAATAGCAGATTTAACACTTGAGACAATTGAAGTTTCATAAAATGATGAGTCTTTGGCCTTGTTGACAAAGCACCCTGTGGAGAGTACTATTGTGATCTGCGTTGTCAGCAGCAAAGGTAATAACATGATTAAAATCAAGTGGTAACCCAGAATTTCAGACCTGGTCCCCAAGAAAAGAAATTTCTGATAGGCTTTTCCTTTTTCGGTGGGAAAGAGGAGAGAAAACTGGGAAAAGTACACCAGATGTCAGTAAAAAGAGAGTTCCTGCTCACTTATTTCTTTAGTGTGTTAGAGGCTGAACAAATATTGGGAAGAAATATAGATCATAGTAAAGAGGAGCTTTCTTGACCTTCATCAACGGTGATGACAGCCATAAAAAGAGCTGTTGTGTTTCACGAACACAACCATAGATTGTAACATGGCAATTTTTTTCTGGCCCCTCTACAAGGAAGGATGCTCCTGAGGCTATGTATTTGCAGAGACTTCTTGCTCCTACTTCCCCATGCAGCTCGATGTACTGCATGGAAGGAAGGACCTCTTCTTATCTGGAGTACAGAAAAGGAAGGTTTTCTTTCTTTATTTCTTTCTTTTTTAAGAGCATCACAGGTAAAAATCTAATGTAGGAGCAAACCAGAGCCTGGCCAATACTGCAGAAAGTTCAAATTCCCAGGAGAACATACTCTAAATTTTAAATTAGAAGTCATTTTGGGCTGGGCACGGTGGCTCACACCTGTAATCCCAGGACTTTGGGCAGCCAAGGCAGGAGGATCACTTGAGGCCAGGAGTTTGAGATTGCAGTGAGCCGCGATGACATCATAGCACTCTAGCCCAGGTGACAGAGCAAGACTGCCTTGTCTTAAAAAAAAAAAATCATTGCCTTAAAAATTTGATGTAATAAATAATATTGTATATTACTGTTTTAAATTTAAAAATCTCTCAACCTTATCATTACAATGTGATTTCATTAGAAATAGAATAGCACTTAATATTGTAGAGGAATAAGATGAGTCTTATAATTGTATCAGAAAAGGGAAACAAAAGCTGAACTCTTATCACAATAATTTTATAATTCTTCATAGCAAGCTAAAAAATATTTGAGCAAAACATGATTTACTCACTTCAAGATGTTTTTTCTTGAATAATCCAGCTAACTGCTGCATTTTCAGATTAATGTTGCGTAGATACAGGCAATAGAGATTTTTTTACCTGTGCTTAGAAAGGGTGAAGTATGTTGCAGTTATGTAATACACTGATGCATATTGTCATCTTACTGTTTTCAATAAGCATTTAATCATTCTTTCCAAAGGCCTCTTAACTCGGCTAGTTTTTCACAAAGTAATGAGTGCTTTATTCCTTGAAAAATATTTCTAAATAGCTATAGCACAATATAGTTACATAGTGTATCTATTATACTAGGAGTACATTTTGTTGTTAGGAGACTTTGAAAAGCATAAAGACTGTTCTGAAATTGAAATATTTCCCCCAGATGTTTGGTTGCCTAAGTGCAGGCTATATTAAGGAACAGAAGCAAAACAACCCTTGTGGTTTCACAGATGTCCTATCACAGCACAGATTCTTTTATAACCACTCTGAATAAAATTTAATTTGTTTCATCTCGTGAAGAGGTCATTTCTAGCTTCTGACCTCTATGAGTAAGAAGATCTGATAATCTGAATTGTATTTCATATTAAACTTGTACTTGGTTGGTAAAGCAAATCATTGGTGTTTTCTGGTTAAGATTTTTTAAATATTCACTTTAGTTAAAATAAGCTTACATATTTTGATATCTGTTTGCAATTCCACTTTCTTTCAATGCATCTCTTTATAGGTAAAGCTTCTCTGCCCCACCCCCACCCCACCCTACCCCCATCCCTACAATTTGGCAACACTTCATTTTTAAGTCGAAGACTTAACTTTTAAAACTTAAATTTTTATAATAAGTCAAAGACTTGACCTTAATATAAAGTCCATTCTAAGCTATTTCTTTCTAGGCCCATAATCCTAAATTTCCAGGAGGAATTACTCAGCTATTCACTCTCCAAATGCCTGAAATTAGGAAAGAACCCTCTCTAATCTTTATCTGTTTTCAATTGTGTGGTCACCTTCCTAGACGTTGCAACCCTCAGTTTGAAAAATACTAATTTAAAGTTTGTGAAGAGTGCCAATCTTCTAATTTTACATTAACCAAAACTATCTTTTTAGGATCATCAGGAACATTGGTCTCAATATGAAAGTACAAAATCAAGCAATGTAGCAAGAGGTCGATCTTCTGAAACAGCTAATAGCCAGCAACCTTCCAGAAAACCAGCCAAGCCCAAGATTAGAAAACAGCATAAACGCCAGAAGGGCCTGAAGTCTTTCATGACCAAAGAGGCAGTTGTCAGTCAAGAAAACCAGAATAACACTCCCAGACAGCAACGAAACCAAAATAAGCCTATTGATACTTCAATAAAGCATGAATCAATTGTGATTATGAATGCCTCCAAGAATGATGTACAAGACTCAAGTGCACTTAGGAGCCAGAATCCCAAAGTAACCTCCAATACATTTGTTCCACCAAAACAGGCTTTTGACAAGGCATTATATAAAAACTCTACTGGATATCACTCAGGGCTGAATGCTAATAGAGAAAGAGGACGCGAAGACCAAGAAAAGAAAAGATTTTCCTATCAGCAGCTCCACGGCAACACTCTTTCCAATATGGATTTGAACAACCTTAATGAACTTTCTAAGAGACAAGTGCTCCTGAGTCAGAAAAGCTCGCAGTCCGTCTATAACATCAATGTTCATGGACCAACTGAAAATAAGAAACAAGTCAAACAGCCTTACACAGAGACAAAATATAAGAACTTAGAAATGTTATGGTAAGAATTCCCTTTTCTCAAGTGGTTTTCTAGAGGAGAAAGGAGAAGCTGCTGGAGGAAGACAGGAGAGGGAGGAGAAGAAGGGGGTTCCCTAGGGAACGTCCACACCAAAGGAAAAGTCCCCCCAACTTCTGCAGCTCTGATTCCTGCTAAGAACAGTCCACTTTTAATGTATTTCTTTTCCTCTTCCCTGTCTCTTCTACTTTTTCACTGTAGTTAAACTAGAAGTTGGAGGGAGGGGAGAAGTACAGAGGAACCCAGTCAAAAAACCTCATTGTGTTTTGAGGATTGCAAGTAATGTTTGGAGGCAGCAAAGGATCCCTAACACTGTAATGGCCTATCCTAAGAAAATAGTCTAAAATACAGAAAAATGTCATCCTTTATAGAAATGACCTAAAAATCCAACAATAGGGAAATCATTAGATAAATTATGATATTTAGTATCATGTAACCGTTAAAAATTATGGTTATGAGAAAATTCTTCTATTAAAAGAAAATAGTAAGGTAGCAGCTCACACCTAAGGAGTATGAGCTCTACCGTGGTAAAATGTGCACAGAAGAAGAAAAATTCACCAAAATGTCAATAGTAGTTATCTCTGGCAAGAGAGATTGGGATTATTTTCAATTTCTTCTTTATATTTTTTTAATTGTTCAAGTTCCATACAATGTAGATACACAACTTCTATAAACAGGAAAAAGAAATTTATTACTTCAGGAATCATTTCTTGATGTTATTCAATCCAACATGTTTTCTATATACCTAATATGCTGAATATAATGCTAAAATGCTATAGAAGATACAAAAGTGGTACGATGCATGGGGCATCTTCGAAGAACTTACTTTCAAAGTAGGAGGACAATTATACACATATGAGTTGATCAAAAAGCATTTGGATGCTACCCTTGGTGGTATGGAATGTACATTTAATAAGATTCAAAGGTAGCTTCCTAGAAGAGATAATGGCAGATAGTAGGTATTCTTGTCTTTTTATCCTGACTTCAGAAGGATTGCTTCCAACATTTTTACCATTAAAAATAATAGTTTTTGATACACAGGGCAATAGATAAGAAATTTCCTCCTAGTCCTCTTTACAAAGAACTTTTATCATAAATGGGTTTTTAATTTTATCAAATACTTTGTATCAGTTGAAAAATTTTCTCCATTAATCCTTAATATGATAAAATAAGTTAACAGATTTTCTAATGTTACACAATCCTTTTATTCCTAGGGTTAACCCAACCTGTCATACTGTATTTTTAATAAGTTGCTTGATTTGATATGTTAACACTTTGTTTAGGATTTAACATTCACATACAGGAAGTGAGGTTGGCTTATAGTTTTCCTATCTGTGCCTGGCCGTGTCTAGTTATCAAGATTATATCAGCCTTATAAAGTTGAATTGAGGACTATTTCCTCTTTTCACATCATCTGGGACATTTGCTGTATAATTGAAAATATCTGCTACTTGAAGATTTGATAGAATTTTCCCATAAAACTATTTGGGCCATGTGTGGTTTTTGTTTGGCTTTTTATGTTATTTGTAGGCAGATTTTAAACTCCTGATTCATTTATTATAATGGTTATAAGACTTTACAATCTTTTTCTTTCCTCTTTAGTCA